TAAGCCATAAAAAAGAATAAAAGCCAGTTATTTGCAACAAAATGGATGGAACTAGAGATCACTATGTTAAGTGAAATAAGCAGCCACAGAAAGACAAACCTTGCATGTTCTCACTTGTTTGTGGGAACTAAAAATTATAACATTTTGCTGAGAGAAATAAAACTCAAATAAATTCAACAGCTTACTGTATTCCTAGATGGGACAACTGAATGTTGTAAATTGTACATTAGCCCCAAATTAAGTTAAAGGTTGATATACCGGTTTCCTGTAGTTGCTATATCATATTACCACAAATTTGGTAGCTTAAAACAACACACATTTATCCTCTGACAGTTCTAGAGGCCAGAAGTCTGAAACTGGTTTCACTGTGCTAAAGTCAAAGTGTTGGTAGGACTGATTCCTTTTGGAGGCTCTGAGAGAAGAATCTGTTCTTTGCCTTTTTTCAAATGGCTTCAATTTCTAGTATTCCTTGGCTATAGTCCCTTCCTCCATCTTCAAATACATCACTCCAATCTCTGCCTCCATCACCAAATCATCTTCTCTTCTGTATCAAATTTCCCTCTGCTTCCCACTTATCAGGAGACTGTCGTTACATTTAGGTCCCACCAGGATAATCCAGGCTAATCTCCCCATCTCAAGATCCTTAAGGATCTGCAAAGTCCCTTCTGTCATGAGGTAACATTCACAGCTTCCAGGAATTAGGACCTGAATACCTGTGATAGCCATTATTCAGCTAACCACAATCTGCCCTCTGTCCTACTTCCTAAAATTCACATCTATCCCACATGCAAAATATATTTATTCACCCATCTTCAAATCTCCCAAATTCCAGACCTGTTACAATATCAACTCATGTCTAAATTCTCATCAAATGTCATCATTTCAGAAGTCTCAAATCTTATAATCTAAATCATCTAAACAAGGGATGAGTGAGACTCTGGGTATGACCCCTCCTGAGGCAAAATTCACTCCGTCTATGGATCTGTGCAGCTAGAAAACAAGTTATCTTCTGAAATACAATAGTGGTACAGGTATAGAATAACTATTACAGACATTGTCCTTCAAAAAGGGAGACAAGAAGAAGAAGAAAAGAAGAATCACTGCTCCCAAGGAATTCTGATATTCAGCAGGGCAAATTCTATTAGATGTCAAGGCCTGGGAATAATACTCTGGCTCAAGACTCTGCCCTCCGGTCCTGAGGCTTTACCTCTGGGCCTGAGGTTCTTCATGAGTCATCCTTCCTTGTTCATGAAAGATATCATGTGTTTGCAGCTGAATAGTTTTATCAGTCTATTTCCTGCCTTTAGAATTTTGGGAGTCCAGTGTCCTCTTTTTCATTTTGTCCTCTGTCTGCCTCTTTATCCAAGCTGGCATTTCTGCTGATATACCATTCTCAAACACCTTCTGAGTCTTCCTGCATGCCACAGAGATTCACTCCCTTAGACAAGAGGCTCCTTCACAGATCTTTTGGGAATAATCTCATTTCTCCTACTGACTTCTGCTGAGATGGTTAAGGGGATCCATTTATCACATACCTAATCTCTTCAGCCACCTTCTTGGCTTTCTCTCCAGAGCACACTTTCTTGACAGTCAATCTCTTCATTTTAGTCCCTTTTATAACCTGGATAGGCTGAGAATTACCCAAGTCATCAAAACCTGTTCCCCTTTTGCTTAAAATATTCTTCCCTCAACTTATCTCTCTCCTCTCACAGTCTACTATAAGCAGTAAGAAGAAACTGGGTCATACGTTCAACATTGCTTGGAAATCTCTTCAGCTAAATATTCAAGTTCATCCTTGAAAGTTCTATTTTCCACATAATGACAGGACACAATTCAGCTAAGTTTCTGTCACTATGTAGCAAGACTGCCTTACCTTCAGTTTCCAATAACACGTTCCTCCTTTCCTTCTGCATCTTCACCAGCAGCACCTTTATCACTTATATTTCTACCATTATTCTGTTAATGATCATTTACATATTCTTTAACACAATATAGGTGTTCTCAACTGTGCTCTTCATTTCCTTCTGAGCCCTCAACAGAGGCAGCTTTAATGTCCACATTTCTGCCAACAGACTGTTCAAGGCAATCTAAACTTTTTTCTATCATGCAGCTCAAAATTCTTCCAGCCATTTATCCATTATCAAATTCCAAAGCCACTTCTACATTTTTAGGTATTTGTTATAGCAGCAACCCATTTCCAGGTACCAAAATCTGTACTAGTTTCCTATATCTGTTGTAAGATAAAAAAATAAAAAATACCACAACCTTAGTGGGTTAAAACAACAATTTATTCTTTTACAGTTCTGGAGGCCAGAAGTCCTAAGTCAGTTTCACTAAACTAAAGTCAAGGGATAAATGGATCCCCTTAACCATCTCAGCAATTATTCCCAAGGTGTTGTCAAGGCTGATTCCTTCTGGAGGTTCTGAGAAGATGATCTGTTCCTTGCCGTTTCAGTTTCTGGTCACTATTTATATATTCCTTGGCTTATGGCCCCCTCCTTCTATCTTCAAAGCACATCATCCCAATCTCTTCTTCCATCATCACATCACTTTCTTCTCCTCTCTATCAAATATCCCTCTCCTTCCCTTTTACAAGGGGCAGTTATGGTTACAGTTAGGACCTACCTGGATAATCTCCCCATCTCAAGATCCTTAACTTAATCATATCTGTAAGTCCTTTTTTGAGATATAATATTCAAAGGTTCTATGGATTCTGACCTGAGTATCTTTAGGGTTATTATCCAGCCTACCACAGTTGGTACATACAATCTCATAAAATTCCAAAAAATAATATTTGAGAGACTTGATGAAATCACTCTAAAGTTCAATTGTGTTCTCTCTAATACCTAACAATCTCTTTAAGCCTCATTTGCTATCCATAAAGTGGACATAAAAATACCTTCCACAGTTGAATCCAGACCCATATCTGGAATAGTATTAAAAATTATGGACAAGATAACTGGTCATCTTGCTTCTAACTCCTCACAGCTTTAAATATGTCATTCAACTTGCAAGCAGAAATAATTCCCTAAGCTTGAATCCAAGGTTTCGGTTTTGGCTCCACTAGTTGGGTAGACTAGAGTCAGTGGTGGTTCCAGAATTTCAATAAAAGATGGAGTTTAGGAGAGAAATCAGTTGGAAAATGGGACTAAGAAACTTGTCATGAACTGCTTTTACATAATAAGTATACTGTTTTTACTGAGAGCACACATTTATTTTGGGCAACTTAGTAGAGCAAGAAGCTTATCACAAGCACTCCCTTAATGCCACCATACCTTAACCACACTAACCTTAGTTTCCTCATCTATACAACTAAAGTATTTTAGTACAATCCTCATAGTTGAGGATTACAGTATATGGTATAAACCACATACTATAGTACATAGTATAATGCATAATGTAATTTAAGATACCATATAGTATATGGAGTATATTGCAAAATATAGTATAATGCATGCAAATGTCTTGGCACAGTGCCTGGAACACAGTAAAGCATTCAATAAATTTCTTATTATGTCATTCCTGTTCTCAAAACTCTATAACTGACTTCCTATTGCCTGCTGAATAAAATACAGACCCTCCAAAATCTCTCTAGCCACAAACTAGATTTCCAGCTTCATCCCTTCAACATTCGTTCAGTGATCCTATCCACTATTCACTTCCGGTTCCTTCTGCCTCCAGATATCAACATGGTTCCCTCCCTCTGCCAGCTCCTTCTGGTCTCTGCTCAAGCATCACATTATCAAAGAGTCCTCTCCTAATTTCCCTCTACAAAATAGCACACACACTCACTCACTTGCTAGCAACTTCCTAAACACTTTCCCACTCTATTGTTCTCCATAGCGCTCCACAGATACAGACATGCAGATTTAGATAGATACAATTATTTTCTACATCCCCCTACTAGAAAGTAGGCTCCATGAAGGTAATGATTCTGTTTTGGGCTACGTTGTGTATGTATTCTCAGCTCCTAGAACAGTGTTTAAAACCACCAGCACTCAACAAATATTTGTTATATGAATGCTTACACAAAATGTCTTTGTTTACTATGTTTCCCCAATCTTAGATGCCCTCTCTACACTGACACCTACCAAAATTCTACTCATTCTTCAAAGCCCACTCACATATATCTTTTTCTGTGAAATTTCCTAATTCCCCCAAGTGGAACTCATTGCCCTCTCAACAGTTACCCATTTATAATTTTATTTAGATCTCATTTTGCTGAATGAGAACTATTTATTTTTTATAATAAAATAAGAATCATTTTAATTATTATCTTGGTTTTTGCTTTTATTTCTAGATTGCACACTCTTTAAAGGCAAGGTCTATGTCCCGTCTTTTTATCATATATCACAGCACCTTCCTCACCCCTTACCTACTACCTGATAGCACATCACCACCACAGGAATATATTATAAGAGACAGGCACTCAATATTTGTGGAACTATTTGAAGGGAAGGACATTCCCAAACAAAAAAATAGAAGCAGATGCTAGGTTATGTGAAGTGGTATACTGTTTTTTAAGTAAATGTAAAATTGAAGTCCTTCAGAAGAAGGGTTAGAAGTGATATAAGTAAGTTGTTTCCATGAGATTCTATTAATGTGACTGTAGTTTAATTAATTAGCTAGGAAAATATTAGTAAAGTCTTCATTTTTAGGAAAACTGAAGAAGCTCAAACCATTCTGGTGAAACAACAACAACAAAAAAGTATCTTTAAGAAACTCAGTGTGATTGGTCAGGTAACACCTTTTAGGTCCAGTGTGGTTCTTTATGAAGTCACTGAACTTACTCCTGAGTCACTATGACTGATGATGTCACAATGATCATCAGTGTATATTTTGCTGGGCATATTTTGCTGACTGGCAAGGTTATATGAAGTGCTTTCTATTGAAGCACCACATTAACCAATAACTCCTGGCATTTTCTGCTATCTCTGTTTTAGCTATTTTTAAATAGCTAAATTTTAGCTAGATATTTTTTTTCTCATTGAGAAAGAAAGATGTCTAATCAAGGACTATCGCTGATTTTTTCTCTGTTGTTTATCTGCTTCATCAGAGAGACTTTCGGCATTTGTGATGGAACTATCTGGGCAAAGGTTGGATGGGAGATTCTTCCAGAAGAAGTACATTACTGGAAAGTTAAGCGTCCTCCATCTTACTGTCTGCCATATCCTCTGAATAATCTATGCTGCAACTTGGCTAACATGGATATATTTCAGAGTTGTTTATATTTTATTTATATTTCATTACAAGCTCTCTTTTTCATCTTATCTGTTTTGTCTGTGCATTATCTGTGGATGAAATGGAAGAAACACCGAATAAAGGTGAATTAATGATATAAGTAGTAATAGTTACAAAATCTCTGAGGGTTTAGAACATAAGATAATTAGTTACTGTGTTTTATTCCTTATTATAACCTTCCCCTACCTTCCCATTCATCCCCAGCATCTAGCACAATGTCTTGCTCATACTAGGTGTTCAACAAATGTGTATTGAATTATAATGTCCTTAAAATCATCTAGTTCCCTCTACTTAAAGTTAAAAAAACATACGGAAAAAAGTAATGTACTAACATGAGGAGAATGTATGGGAAATCAAGTTATCTGTCTGGGTCCTGAGGTACGTCATTTGCTCTTTCTCAGTTGTCTCATCCATAAAAGGATCTGGAACAAGAGATCTCTTAGAACCCTTCCAGATGTATCTAAGAAATCTAAGTACAAAGGTTGGCATGTAATTTTTATATGGGTTATAACCTAATTTCTAATATTAGAACAACTTTCTGAGAAATAGAGCTTTTAAACTATTACATAATTTCCCACTTTACCAATAGATGACGCCATAGTTTGAGAGGCAATCTTAAAAGCTCATTGATCAAAAAAAAACAAACAAAACCTCACTGACCTTCAGAACAATTAGATATTTATAAATGTTTTCTTATTTTTAAAATGACTGTACTTTATGGTATTATACCTTCAGGTTCTTTAGTAAAGGAATATATTTTGCCAATCAAAAAATTTATCCCAGCAAAGTACTCTAACCATAGAACACACTAATTGTTTGCTGATGGTGATAATGATCATATATATGGCATATAGATAACATTTCCTCCGCATTTACACCTTTCTTCTATAGTGACCATCCTTTTGCATAAACAATTGATGTGTGCTGTTTTGATCAAGTTTAAGTTTATACATTTAGAACACAAATTTAATTTGAACCATATTATTAACTATACTAGAGTATTGAACTATACTATTTTATGTAGATAAAATCTATATTTTTTTCTCCTTTTAGCTGAACCAATCATCCTCAGAAAAATCTGGTAATGATCTAGAAAGCCCATCCATCCAAGACATTGACCAAATACTCTACAGACTGGCAACCGCGACATCAATGATATCCAAGATCTTGGAGCACAGGTCTTACCATCCTTCCTCTAATAAAATTAAGCACTGCAAGTTAAAGAAAAAGAAGAAGACTAAAGAAGCAGGAGCCAAAAGATACTAAATATATGCATACGCAAATGCAGCTTAGTCAAATATAGAGACTACAAAAGAAATCTATTGAGAGGACTCATCTAAGGATAAAAATAGTTCTTTGGAAACCTTCATAAATTTTTTGCCACAATCCTTACTGAGATTTTCCAAAGAAGTCTGGGTTTAAATGCTATTTCCATTCAATTAAAAAAGAACCCAGACTTACTAAAGTACTAGAGAAGAAGTTATATACTATCACTGCTAAATGTTTAAGTATTTTGTTCTTTTTAATGTGTTAGATTTCTAATCATTAAGCAATATATGTAATACTAGCTTAATTTGGTGTTTCAATAAATCTCTAATAAATAATATCTGTGATATATCTTATTTTCCTGAGAAAATTTCATAACCACAGGAAGACTTTTAATTTCCTACTTCAGATTGCTAAAATAGCATGGAAATATTAAAGAATAGATTAATATTTTTAAGTATAAATGTTTTCATTTTCAGTATAACAAATGAATTACAGATTAACATTTTTTAAATTTCAGACTTTTGTTGATAAGACAATTCAATTTTTTAAACTATGGTTACCATATTTTTCAAAGAACAACTAGGAAATAGGACTGAGACTGGGACAGAAGATTTCACTTAAAATATCTTGGAAAAATCCCACAAAAATATATCTATATCTATCATCATTATAAGAGAGGAAAAAACTTTTCAAAAATAATCCTTGAAACAGTAATAAACTGTACAGTTTTATACGTAAGGGAAAAGAATAGTACTTGCCTTGGGCTATGATGGATTATAAAGGTCTATTTTGTTCCACTTTCCAGACTCTCTTTACCTCCATTCTTCCTTAGCACAACCCCACCCTCACATTTCTATGTTTGTTTCATACCTTCAGAGTTCTGAAAAGTTAGATAATTCCCTCTGAGAGAACATTAATATATATTTATTTTAATGGTGAACTATTGAAGACTTTAAAAATCCCCAAACCTCTAAAACCCAAAGAAATTTATCTCTAATAATGGAATTTTCAGTAGAATGGAGATGACTATTTGGGGTAGAGATTTCTCAATCCTTTAAGTCTCCCCGGGTAACTCCTACTCTAATCACCAGAAGAAATAGAAGCGATGTACACTCTTGATAAGACTGAATTAAATAAATGTTAAATTTTATGTTGAGTTATTTATGTTTCTGACATTTCACAGCTACATTACTATGAAACTCCACTCTGAATAAGACTGAATTAAATAAATAGTAAGGCTGAATTAAATAAATGTTAAATTTTATGTCGAGTTATGTTTCTGACATTAAACAGCCATATTACTATGTAACTCCAATATTAATTTCATCATTGATCTGGAAACACAATACTAGTTTGCTTTTTATAGTTTTCGTATCTTTTCACCAATAAGACATATTAGGTATGATTTCTCCAAGAACCTAAAGACCCAAATTAAACACATGGATATTACAGGAAAGGAAACCAATAATACCTCACACCCATAAGTCCCAAAAATATTTTCAGAAAAGTTACTGCAAAATTTGTCCTTGAATTGTGATTTTTAAATACTATGTGGCACATATATACCACAGAATACTATGCAGCCATAAAAAAGGATGAGTTCATGTCCTTTGCAGAGACATGGATGAAGCTGGAAACCATCATTCTCAGCAAACTGACACAAAGAGCAGAAAATCAAACACACATGTCCTCATTCATAAGTGGGTGTTGAACAATGAGAACACATGGACAAAGGGAGGGGAACATCACATACTGGGGCCTGCTGGGGGAGGGGTGGGGAGATTAGGGGTTGGGGGATTGGGGAGGGATAACATTAGGAGACACACCTAATGTAGATGACGGGGGGATGGATGCAGCAAACCACCATGGCACATATATACCTATGTAACAAACTGCACATTCTGCACATGTACCCCAGAACTTAAAAGTATAATAAAAAAATTTTTTTTTAATATCATGGGCCATTTTTCAAAAATGGATTTTAAATTATGGAATGTGGGCTGGGCATGGTGGCTCACATCTGTAATCCCAGCACTTTGGGAGACCACGAAGGGCAGATCATGAGGTCAGGAGTTCGAGACCAGCCTGACCAATATGGTGAAACCCCATCCCTACTAAAAATACAAAAGTAGCCAGGCATAGTGGCACATGCCTGTCACCCCAGCTACTTGGGAGGCTGAGGCAGGAGAATCGTTTGAGCCTCGGAGGTGCAGGTTACAGTGAGTCAAGATCATGCCACTGCACTCTAGCCTGCGTGACAAGAACGAAACTCTGCCTCAAAAAATATATCTATATATCTATATATCTATATACACACACACACACACACACACATACACACACACATACACACACACACATACACACACACACATAGAATGTGAATTTCATCTAAAATTACTAATCATGGGAGGAGTCAATTGAATTGTTTGCTATTTGTGTTTTCCTTTACTTACAGATCTAATCATAAAAACAGAAGATTTGACATAAGATCGCTCACAGAAAACATTTAGTTCAAGTGGACAGCACAAAAATAATCTACAAAGCACAACTCATCTCTTTCTTCCCAAATGTGTTTCCTTCCTTTAATTTCCTCATTTCTATCAAATCTTCTAGTCCCTTTCTTATTTTATTGATGAACATGTACCTTACCACTACCAGCTGAATCTTCCTCAAGATCACTTTCATCCTCCTCCTCTTGTACATAAAAACTTCCCATGACTCCCAGAATAAAATAAAAATACCTTAGCCTGGCATTTAAGGGTAAGATGTAATAAAGGCAGTAGCATTGTTCAAGTGCTGACCACATGCCAGGTATTGTGCTAACTGCTTTATATCATCTCATTTAATTTTCACAGCAATCCCTAAAAAATAGGAACTGTATTGTTGGCCCCTTTTACAGAGAAAGAAGCTGAAGTATAGAGAATTTAAGCAACTTATCATAATTGAAGCACCAAGGTCACAGAGATTTCAAGTAGGGGCACCAGTATTTAAACTCAATCTCAAGAGGACATCTACCCCTTTGTTATTCTACTTATGTTATAGCCTACCTGTGGAAACTATGACCACTGCTCAACAAGGCAATCTTGTCACTGTCCTCCAACATGCCACTTTCACTTACAGCTCTCAGATTTTGCTCATGCCCTTTCCCCTTCTATTGCATATTCAAATCCCATCCATTCTTCAAGGCCCAGCTCAAGCCCGACATGCTGTGACTTCCTATTCTTTCACTACCCTGCAGCACTGAATGCCTGTTCTGCCAATTTTAACCTTTCATCACAGTCTTTCCGATATTTTTATATAATTGTTTAATGTGTCCATAACTTATCATCTCCCACCTAACAAGTATCCAGAGGGCAGGAACAAGCAATTGTATCTACAGCAATACTATGCTCACAATGGGAATTTAATAAATGCTTGTACAAAAGTACATCGTCCTGAAATCTCTTTAAGCTATATTTTACAGCGCTGTCGGAAATATATGTGTAAAATATTAGCAAAAGGCAAAATAGTACTGTTTTTTGAACTTTTAATTGAAGTATAACTTACAAACAGAAAAGTGCAAAAATTATGTGTACAGCTCAATGAATTTTCAAAGAAACATACCTTTGTACCAGCAACCAGGTTAAGAAGAAGAACATTACATCCCAGAAGTTTCCCCATGCCTAAGGGTAGCTATTATTCTATTAGCACTATAAATTAATTTAGCCTAAATAAATCTTTCTAAAATTACTGTTACAACCTTTTTATATTTGAGAAATCAAATCTATTACTCAAATTATGCCATTTTAAAAAAATTTAGGGAACAATCCACTTTGCCCGAGTCTCTCAGAAAATGGCTTTGAATATATATGTTGAACATTGAATAATCTTCTTACAGCAATTATTTTCTCACAGAAAATTATTGGTGAGAAATTTCTTATAGAAATTATTGGTGAGACAGAAGTTGGTAAATCAACAAGCTTCCAATATGTACAGTTCCCAATAAATACAATGTTTAGGGCCAATAGCAAAATAAAGAAAAAAAGGGAAAATTTTCATTTATTATTGCCAACTGTGACTGTGGTTTTATCTACAAATAAAATACTGTGAAAAAAGGTGACATAGCCTATAACTCATAGGAGAAAAACTCATCACATCAGTCAGTTTGCTAACCCCTTGTGAGCTTCCTTACCTGCCCAGTCCAGGAATTCAACACACTCAGTCTGGGAATATTTAGCAGCCACATCTCGGGCCCTTTCTTCCCGGAAGTTTAAAGCTTCTATATCAACATCCAGTTCTACTAGTGCTTTCAAAGTTTCCAAACGACCCCAGGCTGCAGCACAGTGTAAGAGTGTGTACCCTAACAAACGAAATGAAGATGGTGAGATCAAACAGATTACATTGTTTTAGGCTAATTTACGTAGTGGAAGATATTAATGGCCAGATGCAGTGGCTCATGCCTATAATGCCAGGACTTTGGGAGGCCAAGGTGGGAGAATTACCTGGGATCAGGAGTTCAAGACCAGCCTGGCCAACATGACAAAACCCCCTCTCTACTAAAAAATACAAAACATAGCCAGGCATGGTGGTGCATGCCTATAATACCAGCTACTCGGGAGGCTAAACCCAGGAGGTGGAGGCTGCAGTGAGCCAACATTGTTCCACTGGGTGACAGAACAAGACTCTGTCTCAAAAAAAAAAACCAACAACAAAACAACTATATATAAATAGATATTACATATATATATAAAATCAAATGTTTTTCAACTGTCATTTTCACTGAACCCAATCTTGTATTATCAATCCTTTCCATCTATTCTCTTTTTTTCTTTCCTTTTTTTTTTTTTTCCCAGAAACAGGGTCTTAGTATGTTACCCAGGCTGGTCTTGATCTTCTGACCTCAAGCAATCCTCCTACCTTGGCCTCCCAAAGTGCTGAGATTATAGGTATAAGCCTCTGCACCTGGCCTCCAGCAGCCTATTCCTTTACTTTCAATGTCATTAATTTATTCCACT